CATCCCCAACCCCCTTGGATGTCAGTGCTGGCCCCGTCCTTGTGGCCCATCGGCCTACCGGCTGCCGAGCGCCCGCTGGGTAGGCCACCGGCTCCGGTGGGTCGCGTTGCGGGTCGGCCTACCGAGCCAGGCGCTAGACGCCGCTGAGCGCCCGCCGGGTAGGCCACCTGCTCCAGCGGGCCGCGTTGCGGGTCGGCCTACCGAGCCAGGCGCTAGACACCGCTGAGCGCCCGCCGGGTAGGCCACCCGCTCCGGTGGGCCGCGTTGCGGGTCTGCCTACCGAGCCAGGCGCTAGACGCCGCTGAGCGCCCACCAGGTAGGCCACCGGCTCCGGTGGGCCGCGTTGTGGGTCGGCCTACCGAGCCAGGCGCTAGACGCCGCTGAGCGCCCACCAGGTAGGCCACCGGCTCCGGTGGGCCGCGTTGCGGGTCGGCCTACCGAGCCAGGCGCTCGACGCCGCTGAGCGCCCACCGGGTAGGCCACCGGCTCGAGTGGGCCGCGTTGCGGGTCGGCCTACCGAGCCAGGCGCTCGACGGCGCCTGAGCTCCCACCTGGTAGGCCACCGGCTTCGGTGGGCCGCGTTGCAGGTCGGCCTACTATGCCAGGCGCTAGACGCCGCTGAGTGCCGCTTCGGTTGGCGGCTCTGGGAGGGCATTACCGTCGTACGGTGGCAGGGAGGTGCGCATCTGATCCTCGCCCCGCCGCCCAGCTCCACCGACGTGGACGTTGGGGCGCCGCCCCGTGTCTGTGGGTCCGGCCGCGCTAGCGAGTGGTCCGAGCGGCGCGCGGTGCACTTGGCTGCCGCCGGCCCGCCCCCGCCCTTGCATTCCCCGCCACATTCCTCTCCCCTCGCTGTCGGCAGAGTAGTCGTGTGGCGTTGGGGTTCGCAGGGGTGGCCTGCTATACGGCCAACGGCAGGGAGGGAGGGGGAGAGAAAGATGGTGTTTCTTAAACCTATCGATGGTCCCGCCCGCCTCGCCCAGCCCAGCCCCTCCGCCGCCCGCACCCTATCGCTCTGTCTCGCTCGCTCGCTATCGCCCGCTCTCTCTCTTCTCTGGAGGCGACGCGACTTGTGTCAGCCCCGAGTCACCCTCTTCCTCCTCCTCGTCCTCCCTCCCCGGCCGCGCCGCGTCGCCACGCGCTCGAGTGGCCCGGGTCTTTGCACAGCAGTGGGTCCGGGCCCCTCTACTCTACTCCAGTCCGCACCCCCGGCCGCACCCCGCCCGCCCCGGCCCGGCCTGGCCCGCCAAACTAACTCGCTTCATTCAACAGGGACCATCGCTGACTTAATGAAACGTTAAAAGATTAGGCGGCGGAGAGGTGAGGCGAGGAGCCGGAGGAGGACGACGAGGAGGAGGGGAGCGTGGGGGTCCTGCTTATTGACCGGGGGGAGGACCCGGGCCGGGCCGGGATCGGTGAGCCCGCGGGTGATGGTGGCTCTGTCTCTGACACGGTGTGTTGCTGTTGCAGGTGATGTAGCGGTGGCGGCGCAGCGGGATGATGCAGGAAGGCAGCGTGATGGTGACGCAGGGCTACGACCAGGCCGTCGCCGCGGGGCCGGTGGTGGTCGCGGGCGCGGGCGGCCCGGACTACCAGCCCGATCAGGCCCAGTTCGAGGCGGACAAGCGCGCCGTCTACAAGTGAGTGTCCATCGCTGAGGGCTCGAGTATGTCCGTCTGTGGTCCCCGAGCCGCGAGTCTAACTGTCCGCCCGGCTGTCGCAGGCACCCTCTGTTCCCGCTGCTCGCTCTGCTGTTCGAGCGGTGCGAGCAGGCCACCCAGTCCGCCGAGTGCCCCAACTCGGACAGCTTCAACATGGACATCCAGGCCTTCGTGCAGCACCAGGAGCGGGACCGCAAGCCCTTCCTTATGGACGACCCGGAGGTGGACGGACTGGTGAGTAGACGCTTCGTGGCTCGCGAGTGGTGCCGGTTACCGAGTGACCATGCCCGACCGCTGCCTTTCTGTTACAGATGATTAAGGCGATCCAGGTCCTACGGATCCACCTCCTGGAGCTGGAGAAGGTCCAGGAGCTGTGCAAGGACTTCTGCAACCGCTACATCACGTGCCTCAAGGGCAAGATGCAATCCGAGAATCTCCTGCGCTCGGACTACGCTTCGAGCTACGAGCACAACAATAATAACAACAGCTGCCACTCGAGCGAGAGCAGCTCGCCCCCAGGACAACTACCCAGCTACCCCACCTCCCCGCACGCGGGCCACCTCACCCCCGCCTCCCCTCACCACGTCCAGGTCAGTCCAGGCTTGCACCGGAGCTTGCTGTAGCGTGGTCGGCGGGGGCGTGTGAGTACGACGAACGCCTTGCTTGACAGGTGGTGTCCTCTACAGGAGGCGGCGGCTGCGGTGGTGGCGCGGGGGCAGCTTCCCCACAACTCCAACAGCAACAGCAGCAGCAGCAGCCACAGCAGCGCTTCCTTGGCCATGCCGGGGTTGCCGGGGCCGCGGGTCCCGGGTGTGGAGACCTGCTAGGCGGCGTCGGCGTCGGCGTGGCGCCGGTGGGGTGCCTCCCGGCGGGCGGCGGCTACAACGTGGTCCTCTCGCCGGCCACCCCTCCGGCGGCGCCGGTGCCCGCCTCGGTCCCAGGGTCCCCGGGGGTCCCGCTGGGCTGTGGTGCGCTGTCGGTACCGCCATCGTCGCCCTCCCCCGGACTCATCCACGGCAGCACGCCGCTCTCCCAGATCGGAGCCCACCCCTTCCCGACGCCTGCCGAGAGCAGCATGCTGCAAGGTGAGTTGCAAGTTGAATTTTCCAGTTAGGATGAAGTTGGTGCTGTGTATCCGGTCGCTGATTCGCCCTGTCCATTTCCGTTGTTGGACTGATTAGTGGTGTTCAACTAAAGTTGTAATATCTAACTCCTACACGACTCGACTCGTACTGCAATCTAATCTAATCTAATCAATCATACTCATGTGCTGTATCTAACAGGTGCCCTATCTCCATCCCCGACATCTCCTGGTTCCGGTGATGACGATGACGACTTTTTGGGACGAGGGAAGAAGCAGAAACGTGGAGTTCTCCCCAAACACGCTACGTCTATAATGCGGTCGTGGTTATTCCAGCATCTAGTGGTAATTGATGATTGTACATGATACCTGTTAATGCGTGTAGAAAAATTTCAGTTGCATTCACAATTTGATTATTTTTTTTCAGCATCCGTACCCAACAGAGGATGAGAAACGTACTATAGCAGCTCAAACAAATTTAACTCTGCTTCAAGTGAACAACTGGTTCATAAATGCAAGGCGCCGCATTCTTCAACCTATGTTAGATGCCTCCAGCTCTACTGATACAACAGGTACCAATGAGTGACATGACAGAGACCAATACAAGTTGATATGTGTTTCCAAATTATCAATTTTCCCTTAATTTAATTTCAATTTTTCAGCTGCCACTAACAATGGTGGAAGCAAATCAAGTGCTAATAAGAAGAGCAAGGTTGGAAGAGAAAATGCTAGTAGTGCATTGACACAACGCTTCTGGTCAGAAAATATGGGATTACCTCACCTCTTGGTACAAGATCACAATGGTGCTGGACATGGAGGTTAGTTATTTATTTATTTATTACCTTGTTTTGATTTTTCTTTTTCATATTTAACTTTGATTTTCTTTTTACAGAATCGTCATTAATGAGTTCTGGAGGAGATGATAGTGATGGAGAAGGGGAAGCAAGCTGGAGTCAGGAAGAGGATGATGATGATGAGGATGGTGCTGATGAAAATAATGGGGATCTTATTTCTAACAGAAGTCACCACCGCCTCAAACCAGAGCCTAGCTCAGATTCAGAGCAATGACCTGTTTTGAAACAAAATGTATACTAGCAACCTAGAGGCCTATTACCTCCAAACTACTATTAGTGAACTATTGTTAATATTGCAGTTCATAGGGCTAACTTTTTGTATACGTAATACTTACTACCAACCAGAATCAATGTTACTGGTCTTGCAACCCAAACAATGCCTTTTTCCTTTTGGAAAATTCTTCTTGTATACGATAGAAGTATTGTTTAATTTTGCTAATTCAGTATTTGCTATGGCGATTACTTATCCATATTTGACTGTGAACTTTGTAAACTTATATTATGTATAACAAGTGAATTCATTTTGATTGTCATTTACCTCCATGAGAGTGCAAAATGCGTAATTTCATAATTCTATTTCAGCTCTCATGGCATTAAACTTAGTATACGCTTGCCTCAACCTGATTGCTCATTCTGCAGGTATACGATTTTAACTACTTAAATAATACATATTGTATTTTGTAACTAATTTATTCATTCTTGAGGTAGCAATCACCTGCATTTTTCTTAAATCTTATTCAGCAGGTGTAAATGCTCTATGTTACTATATCAGTCCAAAGGCAAAAACATGCCTGGGATATTTTTTCACAGGACTTATTAATGTAGTATGTACCATTGTCTTGTATACGATTAGATATGGTTTATCTATTTCAAATTTTATTTTGCAATCTTTTACAATATGTAAATGATTGTACACTTTGGACAATACTGTACATGTTTGTATAGAAGTGATTGTTTTCAAATGTACAGATTAGTAGATAAACAATATTAAGGAGTTTTGTGCCATTTCTGCTGCCATATGATGTACGTATGTCTCATTTCATGTTTCATATGCTTGTATCGCAGCTTTCTGCAAGGGTAAATATCCTTAATCAAGTACAAATTACCTGGATATTTCTTGCTGCCATGCACATTTTAGAATGCTATTCCATACATAGCATAGGAAGTAAGTCTAAGTGAGAACTAAAATCTCTCTAAATGCAGAAAATTGTCAAGTCATTTGTCCGTTTTGATTGTTACAACATATACCTGAATATTGGTGATGGGCAATAAGAAATCTCATCTCTTAGCAAACTTGCACTTACCTCCTTAAGAATTTTTTAGCTAGTCATTATGCAAGTTCTTTGCTCTGAGGCTGCGATGCAAGCTATTTTCTGCTCTATGTCCATTTTAAGTCTAAGGTATTTAATGTTCTTGGTTTCATGGAAACAGTAATATGTTAACTGTTCAGTATATTTTATATCAGTGTGATATGAGAGACAAACTACCCTATGTTCAGGCTCTAACATTTGGAAAATTACTGTTGATTTCTTATGAAATTGTGCTAGTACTATTTCCATCCATTCCGGACTTTTAAATTCACAGTTCTGAGCCCAATGTTACATTACAAATTGGTGAGCTATTGTAGCTGTTATTCTGTACCATCATTGATCTCAGTGAGTCATACCATAAGCTCTTTGAAGATTTCATAACAATTTGAGTTAGGATTTTGCCAAATTGCTACACTTTTAGCTATATTTTAAATCTGAATTCTCCTTTATTCTCCTTCAGCTGACAACATGATAGCCAAATCTTTTGTTTCGTTAAAAAGTGTCTTAAAATTTATTGATGATGAATCTTTTATCACTATCAAGGCATTTTAAAGTAAAGTTGAGATAATTCCCTTTCAATAACCAAATGTGTGACAGTGAATGTGTTACTCAATTTTTACTCAGTCTGAAGCCGTTGTTTACTTTTTTCACGGCAAATGGTTGTTGATTTGCTGTAATCTATGAAAGAAACACATAATTTATAAGTGGCTGTAGTCTTCCCCAGGCAGCAAAGAGTAACCATGCAGTAGTGTGTGCATTTGTTGCTCTTTTTTAAACCAAAAATGTGTCATTTATGCACTTCCACTGTGCTGGTCTGCTACTAGGGTAAGGTAACAAAATTCTCCATTTTAAAAATTCTTTTCAACCTACAGTTTTATATTTATTATGGCAACTTGTAGTATTTGAAGCAAGCTGTGTATTTGCATTCTATTGAGCCTGGTTCGATGTGTAGCAATAATAGGTGCCTGTAAACTGATACTACTATTGAAACCTCGTAACACAGCTAATGTCTAATGTCAAACAGCGTTTTCATGTTTGACTTTACCTATATTAATGTTGTCAGCAGGAGCTGAAAAATGAGCTCTTCTGCTTGTCTTCCAACTAAAGGTAAACCTATTTGGTGAGCTTTATTCATCCCTTGGAGTATGAATGAGCTAAATCCTATGTGATTTGCTCTAGGTGAGATATTTTCAGTGATCTTCATATAGATTTTATGTTTAAGCTAGTTGAAATTAGAACATAGAGCTCTTGCCACTATGTAAGTTTCATGTGCTTTCTTGAATGAAAGAAGTTATTAAGCGGAATCTGCTCAGTCTTCTTTGATTATGTTATAGTTTGTTTTCCTTGTGTTGTTTTTAACTTGGATTGAACTTGTTTTTCAACCATGTGAAACTCTGCATTAACTGTCTGTGATATTGTACTGTATGAAAGTTGAATGTTCTTTATATTTTGATAGATTCACTGTGCTGATAAAGAAATGGATGACATTGTTAACGACTATTGGCTTTCCCCAACATTTTGAGGAAATTTACAGCTATCAAAATTTCCATTGATAAAGTTGAAGCAGTTATTTTAATCATTTTGTACACTTTTTGTTATCTGGAGCTGTTTCTTGTCTTTGTTTCCACACAAGTTGTCAAAAAAAAATAAAAAATCCCAAATTGACATTGAAATTATTACAAAAATTTACAACTCCAAAATTTCTTTGAAGGAACTGTGTATGTCAACAATTGTATCCATTAAGCATCGAATGTTGTGTTATGTGAATTTCAGCCAGAGAATCTGCCTACATTAAACATTCAAAATAAAATAGAACCAGTCTTTTTCCGTACCAAGAGGGTCACCTAAACACTCTAAGCTGAATCTTCATGGGGCAAAGTTTCCATAGCTGTCGGAGCAGGAATTGGTGAGACAAAACAAGGTATAAAGACAGTACTGCTAATCCGGAGCTTAGTTTGGGAAAACCTCATCTCATAATAGCACTGACCTGATAGGCATGACAGTAAGTTCACTGAGCCTTCATAATTAATGAAGGAAGTGAAGAAAGCCAGGAGGCACCCTGATTAAAGTTTATATTCAGACCAGGTAGTTCAGCAATCATCCAGAAAAGACACAAAGTTGATGAAAATATGTAAAAGGAATCTTTAATAGATAGAACAATTTAACATGATGGGTTCAAACAAATCAGGTACATTTTCAAAACCGAAAATTTACAGCATAAAATTCATTTCTAAGTGCTACAGTTGCCTAATACAAATTTAAAAAATGAACATATATGAAAAATAAAATGAAGTAGAAATTGACATGAAGCAATAAAATTAGTGATGGAAAAGTCGAAGGTTTGTGTGGCACAGAATAATTCCATGTTCATCACATGCTTTAAGAACCTCTTCATCGTTGTTTGAACCAGAAGGACTACCAATGAAGGAAACTCCACTCTGAAAATCAAAAATGGTATTAGTCTTGCGGCTTACTTCAATGTTATTGTTTCCAAAGAAAAATACTTACAAGGCTAGCTCTGTCTACATTGTCACGGAAGGGGAAGAATGCATCAGATGCTAGAGCAACACCTGATAATTTTCTGGCCCAAGCAGAACGCTCATCCTGGGTTAGATCCACAGGAACAGTCTCAAACTGAGATTCAAACAAGGTACGATCCATATCCTTTCCAACTGAACCATTAACAAAATTATCAATGGCATTAGAAATTTCTGCACGTTTGGTTCCCTTCTTGAAATTCATTTTCAGGACAGTGGGGTGCTGACGCAGCCACCAGTTGTCAGCTTTGTCGCCAGCAAGTCTGGTACAATGGATACGGCTCTGTTGACCAGCTCCAATACCAATAACTTGACCATCACGGGCATAACAGACAGAGTTACTCTGAGTGTACTTCAGCGTGATGGTTGCAATGATCAGGTCCCTAACAGCCGACTCTGGGAGCTGAAAACAAATTTATAATTAAGAAAAGTTTAAATAAGACGTGGAATAAATTGATGGAGTTGTCTACTTACATCCTTCTTTTTGGAAACAACATTTTTGAAAAGCCCTCCGTCAATCTTAGCATTATTCCTCATCTGCTCCATGGTCAGGCCAAAAAGAACCCTCCTTTCAAGGGCTGCAGGCTCATAAGAAGGGTCAATAGAAAGGACACAATAGCCACCATTTTTCTTCTTTTTCAAAATTTCAAGAGCTTCAGGCGAATAACCAGGTGCGATAATTCCATCAGATACCTACAAGGAAAATTCCATTAAAAATGCAACTACAATATTCTCAAAGAAAAACCTGCAACGGTTACTTTACCTCTCGTGAAATAATTCTAGCAGTAACTGCATCACAAACATCAGACAAGGCAATGAAATCACCAAATGATGACATACGATCTGCACCTCGTGCGCGAGCATAGGCAATAGCAAGTGGAGTTAGTTCATTTGAAAGATCTTCAACCATGCAAAGCTTAGCCTGTAACAAAATTTAGAAGTGAAGTCACTCAGAACATTGATGTAGCTACAATTCAAAAATATTTAACAACTAAATCTTACTTGCTCGGGTGAAAGAGGGTTGCCAACAGCTGCACCAGCAGGACTGACATGTTTAAAGGATGTTGCAGCAGGAAGGCCAATAGCAGTCTTGAGTTCCTTCACAAGTTGCCATCCGTTCAAAGCATCGCAAAGGTTGATGAAACCAGGAGACCCATTTACAACTGTAAAAAAACAAATCATGAACTTCACACATTCCATTTAATGGTATCACCATAAATCAAAGAAAAATGAGAAAACATTACCTTTAAGAGGCAGTTCTGCCAGAGTAGTGAAAAGTTGGGCAGGTTTTTGATGGGGATTCATGCCATAGCGAAGAGTCATTTGAGACTCTCCAGCGGAATATTGCTTGCGGAAGTAGTCAGTGATCGCTAAATCATATTCTGATGTGTGAGTGAACGCCTTCAGTGCTAGAGTTTGCCTGAAATAATAGACATTAGTCAAAACTGCTTAGTTCTTGTGAATGGCAAGAAGTGAATGATGAATTTATACCTTGTGTTCTTTGAAGTATCCTTATCTGAAGAATTCTTCATTTCCTTGACAACCTTTTCGTAGTCACTGGGGTCACAGATGACAGTGACACGATCATGGTTCTTAGCAGCAGCTCGCAGCAAAGTAACACCACCTGGAACATTTACAGTTATTTTCATGGAACTTCTAACTGCAGGTTCCAGTTCACCATTATGAGTAATGTGTCTTACCAATATCAATGTTCTCAACAGCATCGGCAATGGTGACATTAGGTTTAGAAACTGTATCCACAAATGGGTACAGATTGCAGACAACCACACGAATCATTTCATAATTCTGTTTAGACATATCAGCCTTGTCACTGTCACTGAGACGGGACAAAATACCTGAAAACAGCAAACCTGTTTAGAAACTAAAAATTGACATTCAGTTATAGTGAAACTGTTGGAAGCTTACCTGCATGTACAGCAGGGTGCAATGTTTTTACACGCCCACCAAGCATTTCAGGAGCACCTGTGATGTCGGATACATCTTTAACAGGCAGACCAGCATTCCTGACTGCAGTAGCAGTACCTCCTGACGCAACTAGTGTCAAGCCCAAATTGTGCAAATCCTTTGCGAGTTCTATTAAACCCTTCTTGTCCGAAACACTCAGGAGCGCTGCATAATTATGATACCATAATTAACAAAGGGTAAAAATCACAGATTCAAGAACTTTACACTGACCAAAACTTACCTAACTTTCCGGATGCGGCCATGATTGGGAAATAAACCAAATGGGAACTGAAACAGACAATTACCAAATAAGTACCTCTTCACAAGCAACAGGTGTCTGAGCAAAAAAATGTCTAACCTACACGACACGTGAGATCCGCCTTCAAGGAACGGCGAGACTGAAATGAAGCTGGTCGGTTTGGATAGGGGTGAGCCGGTTGGAAATGACCGAGGGTTTTGATCCCTGGACTCGAGGTCAAGCAAAGCCGTGGCAACAAACGCAACAAACAGATAACTACAAGGTCAAAGAGACCACATGGGTCGTTCGCAGGGGGGAAGATGGGATGGGTGGACCGATAGTGAGCTTGTCGTGTCTTTGGAATTTTAATAAACAATATGATCCGTACTCACCAAAAGAGATCACTGCAGCTCCAGGGTCACCTGCAGACTGAGGAGGCTGTCGCGTAACAGGGCCGCTTTATGTAATGAATCTCTGCAGTCAGCTGGCGTGCCGGGCGAGCTTGTTGTCCTCCAGCGCGGGGGCGGGAGGTGGAGGTGGAGGGGGGGAGATGTGAGA